AGCCGCAACTGGGTGAGCCTCCGGGTCGAAATGATCGGTCAGTGTACTCGACCGGAGGGTCCGACGAATCTGATTGGCCAATTATACCGAACTTTCAGAACGCACCAGAGACAATAAATAACCCGTAAAATGGGAAAACACGCTTACTTTCCAATATACTGTTTTGTGTCATTTTGATTGTATTCTCTTCCTCGGCTCGGAAGTTGGTGGTGCGATAGCAGTCTCAGCAACAGTCAGTACACAATAGTGACGCGGGAGGGTATAGTGATGCACTGTACTTCTACAACAGCCTCAATGCCCCTTCAACCCTATGGTCCGTTGTGTGCAGTGATTTTCATCATGAGCTTCTTGGAAATAGAAAAAAGAAGTCTTGTTTATCTCGTGACAGTGGCCTGAACGAGCACATCCAGTGATTCTTGTCTTTGATTGTCAGAAAAGCTAAATCCAATTGTATGGTCATTCACTCTCTATTCGTCATTTGATCAACCTCGGTTTGACGAAGCTCACTAACTGATATCAAGCGTCGACTACCTGGGTTTTGTATACGACTGAAAGAGATTTTCGCACCTTCTGGTGGAACTTTCGTGTTTAATCGTACAATGGATGTGAGTAATCTGCTATTTCTTTTCATGTTTTCTGCACAATCATCCTCGACTCTGTGATGCTACTTTCTCTTTCGCTCTGCGGCTTTTGATCTGCTGATCACGAATTTCCGCCCAGAAATGTATGAAGACAATTTGTAAGCTGGATCAGGTTCTAATTCACGCTACTCGCGCGACACGTTTTCGCTTTGCTACTGCATATTGGTTTGCATTGTGCAGTCGTCACCGGCATGTACTCAGTACTTTCCGGTTCCATGATGATCTCAAAGAACGCCTTCGACGGTCACAACTGTTTGTTGTTCACCTCGAGAAACGAGACAATTGAAAGTCGCGAGATTCGTGCGAAGCTGTGATAACCACTCGATAAGTCTACTATCTCCACATAAACTTGATGATTACCCAGTTCCGTCGACTAGGGACTGAACAGAGGTGATTACGGTGTTGGATTCTACAACAGCTTTGTAGCCCTCTGTGATAATGGTTGTTATTCTTATAAATAACTTTTTTGTGAAAATTTACTATTGATTGATCCGAACAAAAAGGAAGGACGAAGCACACGGAACCTGTTAAGCCGGGGCACGCATCCGTGTCATACCACAAGCACGCTCGTGAATCCCAAGGCGAGGCGATTCCAGATTGGATAACTAGAATGAATCACACAGCTGTCGTCCGACCGATCGATCGCAGTGACAAGGATGCGACTGATTGGTGCGTCACCACGTCGTTCCCGAATTCATCCACTCATATTTGCGTATCGCAACATCACCATAGAATACGCTCTGACTACTGTTCTCGAGTTGTGTTCTATCTCCCGTAGTATTGTTTGGGGCTAGGCAGGAGGCGCTCGTATCGACCATACGTCTAAGCAGAACATAACACAATAAAAGTTAAGTTGCGAAGTGTTGCGTGCTATTGCCGACATACCCATCTTGTAATGAAGCAACGTGTGTTATTTAACAAATTTGTCGTAATACCTAGCTGTTACTCTGGGATGCGAATCTATCTTTTCGCTCGTATTCTTGGCGTCGTACAGTTTCTGTCTGGGCTGCGCGGCTTCTGATTGGTCGGCACAATCGTCTTATGGTTCATTGTCTAGAAGTTGTAACGCGTAGGCACTTTGCCGGTGCCATCTGGGCAGCTTGACTCAGCACATTTGTCCGGAAACTGTAACGTGTCGCCCAGCGGTTTGCGTCATCCCGTAAGGTACGATTACAACAACTCACCTCCCTTAAAGGGGTCTCATCGATTTGACTTCCTCTTGGTTTTCATAAAGCCAGCGTAGTGATTTATTCGGTAGGCTTTTCGGGAGTACCGGATTGCTGTTTCAAGATTTCTGTATTTGGAAATGATGGATTAATGAACTCCTTGTTCGAACTAGCAGGCTCCTCTGAATGTATTTGGTCGATTTGGTGTCGGCGATCAGCTGAATCTTTCATCGAAGCAACACATTGCACTGATTATCGCGATTTGTCCTGTTTAGCCGATCTTTCTCTAGGGTTGAAGTGCACTGCAGTGGGACATTTTTAAACATTTCTCCAAACTCCGATCTCGTCTTCTGCTTTGCCGATTAAATAGCATATTACCGTTCTTACCAAATTATTTGCTGCATCGTGCGAGCAGGAGTAACGCGAGATTGTGCCTAACAGTCGGCGACTAATAAATTTCAATGTGGAGGGTTATATGCACTTACTTCCAACATTAGTGGGATTATTCATGATCGGTCTCCGCCGTTGGGTATGGACAGTCGGTAGTTTGCAGGAGTGCAATGGTACTGGTTGTTTCAACTCACCTATGGCGTTCAGGCCCAGGATGGATTTAATATTATCAGCTACCAGAAAACGAATAAGAATGAAGCAGTTTTTGTCTGATCGCACCAATTGGTGCTCACCCCACCAATGGGAGATTTAGACCCGTAATACCACGAATCTGCATAAACGGTGGACAAACTTTGGCTTGGGGACAGATGGATCGAAACATTTGAGTAGAAATGATGGATTCCGTCCTTCCTGTGTACACACTGAATTTGAGGCTTCGTGCACAACTTTGTCTAGGTATTGGGTACAATAGCTTTGGGTTCGTAGAGAAAGCACAGGGCTTGTTTATCGTTCGGCTGATGGCTGTGCTAGGTTGCAGCGAGTCTGTTTGCAAACTCTCCGGATGTGGCCAGTTTTCCCGTACGCATGGCACTTGGTATTACGGAATCGACCAATGGAGCGTAAGTGATAGGTACGGGCTGATATGTTTGTCGTTGCCGGAAGGGTCATGTGACTTCGGTGTGTGCTTGACCACTGGAGGCCGGATTGGTCTCTGTCTCTACCGTTGAAATAAGGTGATTGCTTCACTGGAAGTCGCTTGTATGGGATTATCATGTTCACAGATCTTGAGTGCTCTGTGAACGTTAGATCCTTTTCTCTAGCAACGTGATGCCTGCTTGTTCAGCTGAAGGATGAAATCGTGAAAG